GAATAAATCTCATGCTAATTTCGGCAGCTATCATCAGAGAGCATAGAGCAAGGGAGCGAAATCGGTATCGCTGTGCGACTGCATAGTTTGAAAGTGTAACATGAAATAGCTGAATTCCAATACTTGTGGCGTTCTGAGCATTGGACAACCAACTTGGTCATTGGATGCACAGCCAAACACAATGACATGGTAGTTCTGGTGATCCGCCTTGAAGACAACCGTTCCCAGATACAGATGTACAGTATGAGAGGAATTACGAGCGAACGCGAGTGAGCTGCAGAAGAGAACAGAAGTCTCAAGCTTCGAACTGTCTTTACTGTGAAAGGAACAGAAACTTTTATCCTCAACAAATAAATTTTTGAGAATTTTTGCCAATTGACGTAACTTCCGATACCTAGTATACGAGTCTTACTTGCATCCACCACTCTACAGTACGGATTGGCAACTTGAGCAAATGTAATGCCTCTCCTGAAAGATACTCTCTGCGCACAGCGAAGAATTCCACTCACGTGTAGATATTGATAACGAAAAAGACGTTGAAGACTGATGGGCCGATCTGGTTCATATTCAGAATGATTTGTTCATCATCGCCACTTCCCTCGCCCGTCAGATTATCTCCAGTGTGAACCACAGCGCCTGGCGGAAAATTTCAGAAGACAGAGCTGAAACGATGCTCACCAACTGCGCTATGAGGTCTCTCACTACGAAGATTCCCGAAGAAAACAGTTTCCAGTACTTCGCCTAAAGAATGAATGATTCTGTCGAACCAGGAGCGCACAAGTTCCACCTGTCTGATCCATCAAAACACAGCTAACATCAAGATCAACTTGGCCGAAGGTCGTATCCCAGCCTAGTCCGCAGACGATTTGTTGTGTCTGGAAAAAAAAGGACAGTTGTCGTCTACCCAAGACTTCGAACTGATAGTACAAATCGGAGTGAAATCAACTCATCTTTCCGAGCTCTTGTAAATTACCTATACTGATTTACAAGTTCGATTCATAATAAATCGAATTTATGCTATTTTATTGGAGTTTCACCCGTTTTACGTGAAGTGGCGTGAAACTCGGTGAAAAACGCGATATTCGCGGCCTGTACTAGTCGTTAAATATGTTTTTCACTAGTGTTTTTCATATCACGGGTGAAACTCTATTAATAAAGTTTCCTCTAACACGAAGTCAAAAAGTATCAGATTCCCATGCTGGGAGTTTGCATCCCATGAAAATTCGAAAATCCGCGAAATTCTCCCGAAAAATGAATATTCCCGAACCCTATCACATTTCTGCCAAAATCAAACACGTTCCCTTTCTGCATTTGAAAATTAACTGCGCATACCGCGCTCTGCCCACGAGCTCCAACTCCGGGAATGTGTCGTCGCACAATCTGAAAAAACCGTAGCGGACTCGACCTATTCTGTATCATCTGAAAAAATTACCTGTGTCAGCGACGGCAATACATCCATGAAATGCTGACATCGCAAGGCTCACTCACGCGTCGACACGATCCACCGTTGTATGCACTGAAATTTCGATCTGATTTCCACGATTCAACTGACCAACTACGTGAGAAGGCTCCCACTATGAGAGCTCTGAATTTTCCGTATTGGTTCATCGCCGATCGAAAAACCTGTTCGGGAAATTATTTCTCTACTCCGCAAGAAAAATCTTACTGGACTCCGCGTTGATTCGTCCGTCACAACAACAGTACCGCTTTGAACTTGGCCTAGAGAGCCTCCGGTGTAGCAAAACACCGCGATGATTATCAACGGCACATTCTGAGGCATTTTCGATCTGATAAAAATACGACCATGTCACAAAACTCACAAACTGTTTTCGATCGACACTTTGTGGGAAACCAATGTTCAAAGAATGCTGACGAGTGCTGAATCGATAGGATATCTTTTAAAACAGCAACGAAGGATTGATATAGCTTCAACGACGCTCAGCTCGGAATAGATATTTAATCTATGAGTGTTCACCAATTCAACAACTGAGTTTATTACAAATTTAAAGTCACTTTCTCGTCAACTCCGTCTTTTCTACCGTCCAACTCATCGCCGGAATGGACAAGTGCTTTCCCTAGCGCTTTAAGGTTATTATAATATGCGCAATCGACAATAACACCTGAACTGTAATCAGTGTGAACGAGGACAAGAGAGAATCTATAGGCCCAACTTGAAAGATACGGAATAGGTCCATTCGTGATTTATACATCGTGAGCGAGCTTTATGATGCCGATCTCCCGGGAAACGGATTTTTTACGTTTTTGCGCTTTTTCATGACAAAAAAGAGAAAAGATCGCCATTTTCGGATGACAGTTCTAAGACATTGGACATCACAAATCGACGAGAATTTTGATTGCAAAAGAATAATGCACTCGCGGAGCCGTAGTATACAGTACCTCTATTGTCGACCGCAATCGCTTGGATATCCACGTCTATTGGATGACCTCCAACGAAGTCCCATAGGACTCCCACAGAATAGGTGCTGTTGGGGGAAAGCGGGATGGACATTGGCAGGAAGCTGATAAGAGCAGTGTGGGAAAATATGAACATAGTAAACTCAATATTTCGGAGACAACATGAAAAAACTGGGAAGCTTCCCGAATTCGAATGTGAAAAATTTGATAATGGGCGAGGAAGCTACCAAGCTGAGCTGAGGAATGCAAACATATTTTCCGACACCGGCTGCTACACGTTTGGATCGACCCTTCATGACAGCAGCTGTCCAAAAAGAGGCGAAAATTCGCGAGTGCAAAGAAGTGAACAAAACCTCTTTTTTATGAACTTTATTCTCAATTTTTCTTCAAGAAAGCGGAATTGAAATTTTCACTGATGGAGACTGTCTTCGCTGTGTTGAATGATACGGTTCGTATACAGACGACGGATGGCGACACAACATCCCTCCAGAAAGTGGGTCAAACGAAACCAGTATGCCTAAAGGCACTGCCCTATTTGGCCTTACCCCTTCCGAGGTGAAGTCCTCAGAGGATTGTTGTGATTCCGTGGTCAGTTGATGCCCTATTCTTTTCACTTCAAGGCGTGCCCTGACGGCGAAAATATCTTCCCGTTTCACTTGTGATGTCCTTCTCTATAACATGAAGTTACCGAGATGTGAAAGGTTCCTCCGATGTCATCAATGGTTGCTACTTCTAGCAGTTTACGTACCATTGTTCCGCCCGTCCCTTTGCGGGCTCTGTTTATTTGTTTCACTGGTTAAGGCTGCTGTTGATTAACGGCACTTGTGACTCGTATAATCATGTCAAACGTGTATAATTCAGTTTCCACTCAAAAAAAACTTCCAGCAGTTTGAGGAGCGACACTGGAAGATGCCCCATAAAACGAGATAGCCGCCACCTAAGCAGCGAGCACTAGAGGGTAAAAATGATCACTGTTCACTGAAGCACCCTTAGGTGCTAATCTCCCCCGTACGAAGTTTCGCCAGCTGCTCACAGATTCGTCTAAACATTCTATAGGGCAAAGTTGAAACTGTCCAGTGATACATCACGACCACTCGAGAAGTCCGCATCACGATTTGTTAAGGTCGTAAATCTGCGTCGAACATTAATGCAGCCGTACTAGAAGCAACACGTGTGGATCTTTTGGAGGTCACTCCCCTGCTCCTGGCACGGAGTGCCTTGACTGATGGTAAGGACAACGAGACACCAGAAGACAACAAGATGAGTGAGACATGAACTACACGGGCGTGTGGTGTAGTGGTATCACGTCTGCTTTGCATGCAGAAGGCCCCGGGTTCAAACCCCGGCACGTCCAATCTTATAGGCTTGGGAACACCATCAATTCTAACAGTGTTGTTAGTGAGCGTTACTTACAGTATTGTTACACTATCCTTCCTCTCACTCAGCGGAAGGCTATTACAGCGTGGAACTGATTGGAAATGATGGTTCCAAGGGTTATGATTCCATGGCGAGTGATGTTAAGTCATTGTTCGAGTCACTCGCACTGGTTTCCCCCTTCATTCATCGTAATATATCAATGGAATGACGTATTGCATGCCTTACAGTGATTTTACTTTGCGCCAACTGGCATCTCGTTCGAGATTCCCTCAATCAAACGTGATGTTACAGTGTCCACACTGTAATAACTTCTGCTCCACCTCAACTACCCAGGCTTCTGGATTCAACCAGCTCACTACCCAGTCTCAGCATTGCATTCAATTCCAGAAAACTTCTACTAAACAACCCATTACGGTCGTCTATAAAACCCAGCAGGTGACCCTTGCCCAACTACTCACAATGCTATCTTCTCAACGGGCCGAGTCATTGCTAGGGTTAGTATTATACCACATATATCATCATGAACATTACGGTATCACAACATATTCGAAAATATCATCATTTAAGATTAACTATCGAGTTATCGTATACGGCGACAGCGTCGCATTACCTTAACTCTGACTTAGGTGCGATCCCTACACCTATACTTGCGCTGAAGTATTTCCACACGACCACTCCGACGACCTCTACCACGGAAAGTCTCCACTCGAACAGACAGTTTATATCGTCTCTCGACCTTCTTCGGCCCTACGGCTCTGCGACGCCAAGTTCCGTAGTTGTTGTTCGTTGTTACTGCAGTTTAATCTCATCCAACAACCATTCATACAGAAACGTTGCCATTACTCATCAAAAACACCAAGCATATCAGCAACAAGGCCCACGCCATATCCACTAGCGCGACCCTCTTTCCACGTAACCGGGAAGGCCATATCGATATGCAAAAACGACGGCACGCTTCCTCCCTCGCAAGCCGCTCTAAGATTCTCATACACAAACCAACCCGCTGCTGACACTGGCGCGTCCGTCCTCGTTTTCACCTGAGGGAAAAAAATTCTCTCCCGAGAATTTTCCAAATCCCATCCTACTGAATTCGTGAGATCAGCAACTTCGCTTTTGAATTGATCTTTGTGTAGTTCCGGACAGAAAATGAGCGGATGAACCAAATCTCCCGTCCTCCTCCCAGAAACCACCGCCCTCTTTTCCAACTCCTCATCATTGGAGGCAATCGCCGCGTGCAGATGGCCCGTAGCATAACCCGACGCGCCCGTGAGAGTTGCCATATCAATAACGACCTCTGGATTCAAATGCCTAGCAGCATAGGCCACCCCATCAGCAAGTAGGAGCCGTCCCTCAGCATCAGTGTTGTTGATCTCTACGCTGAGACCAGAGTACATCGAAATAACGTCATCAACTCTATATGAAAAAGGCCCGACGGCGTTCTCAGCGAGGCACTCGACGAGATGCAAAGGCTTGCCGTTATTTCCATTACATTCAACCGCAGAAATGAACGCTCCCAATAAACCAGCAGCACCTAAACGATCAAGTAGGGATAGCACCAGACCACCTCACTACCTCCCATATCCGTTTTCATTCCCCGCATATTCTCAGAGCTCTTCAGTGAAAGTCCGCCCGAATCAAAGGTCACTCCCTTCCCCACCAACACTGTACTCGAGTCACCTTCTTTCGCTCCGTCGGGATACCACGAAAGTCTCAACAACACCGGTGGGCTCTCCGCAGACCCCTTTCCCACGTTCCAGATCCCCCCAAATTTTTTCTCGCCAAGTTGCTTGCCCTCGATTATTTCACATCTAACATCATGCCCAGACCTCTTCAGCTCACACGCTATCTTCTCACACACCGACGCGAACGTAATTGGATTTACGCAATTTGGAGGCAGATCCACCAAAGCAGCCGCACTTCGAATATTCTCTCCCACAATTGCAATTTTTTCCCTCATCCCAATGGGAATTTCACCACACATTTTACTCCACAACGTAGTACTGACCTTCCCACTAGTCCCCCCATACAAAGGAGCCGCTCGAGCTACTGCCAAGCCACACGCGATCAAATCCTCCTCTTTTTCAGCGTCCGCAAACACCCTTGTCGTTCCCCCACCGCACATACTACCACTTTCGCCCAACATTTTCGTCACTTTATCCGCTCTCGCCGAGTTCGTAAATCTCGAAAATTCCTCGGGAACTTTCAGCACTACAACTTTAGTAAATTTTCCATCACCACTACGGGGCTCCAGTGACACCGTACTCGACAGAAGAGAACCTTTCTCCCTATCCTGAGCCTCAATAAACCTCTCGAGATGAGATTTCACCATAGTAGGGGCGACCGGCAAGAACCCCTTCAACGCGCCCATTTGGCCCACCACACACGCCGTGTCAACCTCCCCAGAAGTGTCACCACCAAACTCAATCTTCTTGCGACTTCCAAACACAACGTCGTCAATTTTCGCGATTTCTCGCGAGTAGTCCACAGACCCTCGAAATTTCGCTCCTTCGTTAATCTACATCAACAAAAAAATATATTTTTTTCTTTCCCGGAGACCAGTGGTGCAAAATTATATGTTCGCTTTTCTCACTAGGGTAGAAATGTACAGAAAACTTAACAATTTTCCCAAAATTTCCTCATAACTTCCATTCTGTCACCAAAACACCTACATGAACATACTGCCTGAACTATACGAAAATCACCAATATTTTATTTTCCCCCTCCAAAAAGCTGCACGAGTAGCCGCTACCAAAAACCTCCTCAAAACCCCCACCCTTCCTCAATACTACCGCAACTCCCGCCAGAGACGCCATCGTGCGTTGAAGTAGAAGAACTGGAGATCTTCGCAACACCGCGATGCTCATTAAAACACAAGAGTGAAACGATAAAACTTTTAATACCATAAATCTGTCACTTCCCAAGAAAGAGTACGCCGACCAAAATTCATCCAACTACGTCGTCCACATTGTAGACAACAACTCCATTTCTGCTATTGCCTGTTCCGCATGATTTTCCGAGGGGATAGTTCAAAGCTCAACAACGGTTTGGACTCTATCTATATAGTTGAACTGCGTAACAGTATTTCATATGCTGGTGCTTCGAAGGGCCTATGTTATATATACATATTAGGGCTACACTATGAATACTAACATACATATAATATTTTATCAATCCACTAGTTATATTTTTGGAGTTTCACCTTAGTGACATGAAAAACACTAGTGAAAACACATTTTACGACTACTACAAGCCGCAAATGTCGCGTTTTTCACCGAGTTTTACGCCACTTCAAGTGAACCGAGCGATTTAACTCCACTACACTATATCTAACTAACCACATCATGCCCTTTCCCTACACTTATAATCATAAGTACACAACACGCAGCACACAATGCCTTCTACATACGCCAACAACGCTTCACACACGAGACAATGCATTCCGGTTTCAAGTGAATTCATTAATATAATAATATTCCACTCTCACAAAGAATTCTCCCAAATTCCTCAGAATTCAACCATGTATATATTTTCCCAAATTTACCACAAAAATCCAAAACACCATATCCCAATTTATATGCACTACACACAAAATCACAACTCCTCAACCACATATTCATCACAACTATCATCATGCCACATTCAATGTCCACCCCCAGCAGCAACAGTATTTCCCTCATCTTCCCCCCAACTCCACGGTTTTCCCGTACCTTTCCAAAAACCCTTTTTCTAAATATTAAACATTGGGTTTTCATACTCTGTGAAAAAAAAACCCGATATTCATGAAATATGGTTTTCACTACTGTTTTGTCATATCACTAGGGTGAAACTCCATTATCATACATAAATATATCTCAATAATCATCTTGATATACATCAGACTTTCACCCTAGTGATATGAAAAACACTAGTGAAAAATATATTTCACGACCACTGCATATCACCGCCAATATCGCTTTTTCCACCGAGTTTTACGCCACTCCACGTAAAACGGGTGATTTAACTCCATTATAAATATGATTTCCCAACAACAACAACAACAACAACAACAACAACAACAACAACAACCCCGACTTCCCCAATACTACAGTTTTGAATCACCACCAGAATATACTCCGTATTAGCAACAGCGATAATCTCCGTCCCTTCCTTAGTCCTCATCCTGAAGTTAGTCAACTCCGAGTCGTTGCTACTTCCCGCATAACCAATAGCCGCCATCTGAGGGGAAAATTCCAATTTTCCCCTCGGAAAAATCCAGAAATTTAATTTTTCACCGAAAAAACTCCGACAAAATTTAGATAAAAATGCTAAGCTATGTTGAAGTTAAATGTTATATGTATAACCGTTGTAAATAACAAGGAGCGATAAATTCACTCCGCAAAAAAAACCGCGCGATTTTTTCCAGCCAAAGTCGCCAATAGATGCATCGATACCCTCCCAACCTCATATGTATATAATTTCATTCACGCAAAAATTGCAAAGAATTTATCAACAAATTATCACTAAAAAGAAATAATAAAAAATCATTCTTACACATACCACTCCACGTTCACAAACCCAGCTAGAGGTATTCATAAAATTCACCACCGATTCTTTTCACTCGACAAATACCAACATCGAAGTTATTTTCGCATATATATAATTCTCGAGTGAAAATCCCAACAAGGCAAGAACCAAGACTGTTATCGCGCTTAAAATTCTACCGAGAAAAAAACAGTTGAAATAAAAACTAGCATCGCATCTACAATCCTTCGAAAATAAACCCTTCCCGCCTTACCCCAGCTCCCCTAGGAGGCCCCGACTGTAACAAATCTCGCATGCAATCTTTCGCCTTTATATAGAACTCAGAAACCAGCTGCGCATACATCACCGCTTTCTCATAGGGCATTCCTGAAGCAATGTCGGAATATATATATACTTTCGTTTCCTCAGCTCAGCTCAGGAGTTTCCTCACTGTATTATGAAAATTTACACGCAATTTAGAGTAGAAGTGTCGACATGCAAATGTGGAAAAAATGTAAGTTATTCTCCGAAGTTAATCAGAATCGACCTGAGACTATATCGCAAAAATAATATAAATATTGCTATGAACATGTGATGTGATAAAAGTAATCGTTTTAAACTGTGATAGCGACAACTTGTTCACTATCATTACTCCCGGAATACTCACAACAATGAAATTTCAAACTTATCGAAAAAAACCAACAATAACTCTCCCAGATTCTCCATTACTAATTATGTTATAATAAAGTACATACCAATCTAGTACTCACCCGTTTTACGCGTGATACCCTGCGAAAAACGCGATATTTGCGCTATGCAGCAGTCGCGAATTCTGTTTTTCACCAGCGTTTTTCATATCACTAGAGTGAAACTCCATCATTACGTTAATAATAAAAGAACATTAAATATATAAATAACTCCTCAGACTTGAAGCCTTCGAATTTCAATATAATCTCACCTACCGCACACCAGAACTGTGAAAATTACGAAATCAGCCCCGCCCAAATTTCCTTCGTGCATTTTCCAACACCCTTCCCGCTTTACTACGCTCATGTTGCTTAACCGGAATCCCGTCCGAATTGAGCACAACATAGCCGATAACTGTAGGGTCATCAGTAATCTGGTGGATAAGAGTGTCAACGTCGGACATGATGAAAAAACTTCCAACTGCTATTTTCCCATACCCCTACTCAGTGTGAGAGAAATATATGATCGCTCCGCTCAGCTGAGCTCAGGAGTTTACATGTGAATTCAAGTCCGATATTCAGAAACCAATCCGAATTCCACAAAATTTCCTCAGGAGTTCCATATTGACACCGACACATAAAGTTGACCATGTGCCCAATTCCCCCGTCATTCACCGCTTCACAACATCAACAATCAAAATTCAGTCCACTACAACGACTATTCGACGCTAAAAAGTTGACAAAATTTACGTAATTACAAAATTACAAGTGAATAAATATTATTAACTTCTCCATAAATATTCCCCACTTTAAATGTGAGAAAATTGCCACTAAAAAGACCGAACATTCTACCCGAGAAAACCAAAACCTCTTCAACTACTCCTACTACATAACCGCGATTGCGAATCTCCTGCCAAAAACCACTACAACGCCCAAAAGCACTCAGCAAAACGTAATCGCGAAATTGTCAAGTAAATGAGTAATTACCACCAGTGTGAAAGTCCGAATTCTCCACAAGTGATCGTTCTTCGAGAAAATCAATTTCCACCCATCCCGGAGAAACTACTACAAATCACTGTAGACAAAGTAGCTATAACTCCATAGTAAAAATACGTTGGAGTTAAATCACCCGTTTTACGTGAAGTGGCGTAATACTCCATGAAAAACGTGATATTCGCGGTGATATGCAGTAGTCGTGAAATATGTTTTAGTCATATCACTAGGGTGAAACTCCATCATTCTACCACGAAATCATCCGCCTTCCGAGCACAACACTCCCACTTATAGAAACGCTAATGTACCATTTCCCCCCCCCCCATAATTCGCGTCAACTTCCATGCACATCCCATCCTTTTTTATAACCTCCTCCTCCTTTTCCTCTTACTCCTCTCCAGTCGTGTCAATTCTCTACACCATTTCAACACCAAAAACTTCAACACCTACCGTAAAACGGTAACAATACAGTTAACCCTGGAATAAAACAGTGAGGAGAATAAATAAAAACACTAAACAAACAAAAAATCACCTGCAACAAAATCAGTAAAAATACTTCAAAATATACTACCCTAAAAAGCACTTTTCAACCACAAAATCACCCACCCTTCAAACACAACAGCACTACTTATAGAAATGCTAATGTACCGTTTTTCTCTCATAATTCGCGGTTCAACTTCCAGGCCTTCCCTCCCCCCTTCCTAATTATAACCTCCTCCTTTTCCTTTTCGTGCTCTCCAGCCTTATAATTTCTCTGCAGCATTTCACCAGCGTTGTCAATATGAACGGCCCTTTGCACTCGTTATGCAAAGCCAACACGACTACGTCCAAATCCTCGTCATCTCCCAGAGAGCCTCTGAGAGGCAAACAGTGTGGGAAACATGCGCATGCTCAATATTAAAAAAATCAATGAAATTTTCCTGAGAAAAAATAATTTTTATAGGGTTTTTGTACACTTTTACAGGAGTTTGTATACGACTTGCGAGGAATTTCGCGTTGGAGGAATACCAGACAAATCAGCCCATTTCACGTAAAACACATCACGTATTTCCTCCTGAGTTTTTCACATCACAGGTAAAACTCTATCGTACGTCATCTCCCAAACTCTCATCAGAGAACCAGTCTTGAAGGAATATATATTCCCTTTCCTCAGCTGGAAATTCCTCATTAATTACAAATAAATTCGAGTAGTAGTGTGCAGAAACAAACGATAATTTCCCCAGAATTCCCATATTATCACCAACACATGTAGTTGACCATTCGCATATTATCCCTTTCCCAGAATTTTCATATTATCATCAACAGATGTAGTTGACCATGTGCATATTTTTCCACTCCCCCGTTACTACTCTCCTTCCTCGCAATCGAAACTGTCTTTTAAATTCACACTTTCCCCAACACCAGCGCCGACATCAGCAGGGCGGACCTCACCATTCGATGGAGAATCAACTATGGGCATTCTCCACGACGACCAATCTAATGCAACCTGATTACGTGAAGTGGCGTAAACTCTGTGAAAAACGCGATACTCGCGGTGATATGCAGTCGTCATGAAATATATTTTCATATCATCAATAAGGTGTATACCATAATTTAATCTACACATTATGAATAAATAAATAGATAATTAACTATAACATATAACAATATTCGATATTAAGGACGCGTTGTGAAGCAGGGGAATGAATATTCCTATCACTAGGGTGAAACTCCAATAATACATACTTATTTTTTAAATCTCCCCTATTACCACTTCATTGACATCAGCTTTTCCCGCTCGGTAGTTCCCATATTCCTCCGTCCTAACCGGACCCTCCTCAGGAATGCATCTACGTTGTATTCAGGCCAACCAAAACACGTCAACTCACCGTGACTGAGCTAACATCGTCGCTGGTGGCGACATCTTGCCGAACATCAACTCTGGAGAAGCCTGAGATCAGTGTGGAAAAATATGCATATGATCAACTCCATGCGTTGCTAGAAAAAAATTCAAGTTCTGAACAAAATTGTATAAGTCTGATACCAGTTTAGGAACATATGCACACTATCAACAACATAGAATATAAAAATTCAGAAAATTTTGGAGAAATTCCCGTTAGTTCTTTTAGTCTTTTTGAGGTCGTATATGTTTGCATCCATAAAATATGTTGGCGATAATATGAAAATTCTGTGAAAAATTTGAGAAAATATTTCTTACTCTCTGCACACATATATATACTCCTATCCGAGCTGAGGATAGCCAACATATATTCCAACACTCTCTGAGACAACCTTCCCATTCAATGTGGTGAGAAAATAAGCACACAGTCAACAACCACATGTGAAAATTATGGGGGAACTTCAGAAAATCCTTATTGCTTTCTCTACACTTCTACCCCAATTCACAAGTAAATTTTTTTCACTAGTGAGAAAATTCATTATTCAACGACTCCAGAGTTCACCTGCACTCCACTTGGAGAAGTTGCCGGACTTGAATGAATCGACCCCCGGGTTGATCGCGGTAAAGATGGCACTGGTGATGGACAACAATTCTGAAAATTCAACAATTTCAATTAGTACTGTAATGATATATCGGAGTTTCACCCTAGTGATATGAAAAACACTAGTGAGAAAACATATTTCACGACTACTGCATATCACCGCGAATATCGCGTTTTTCACGGAGTTTCACACCCACTTCACGTAAAACGGGTGATTTAACTCCAATATATGCGCTCTAACTAAGCAATTGTATCTTTTCATGCTCAGCCAAGTATCGCTTATTAGAATATATGTTGTTACTTGTCCTCATACAGACTACCTTGCATTTCCCATTAAAACAAAATACCAAAATTTTCCCAACTCACCCGATTCTTCCACTCAGGAAGCGAGTAGACCGTTTTCCTTATAATTCTCATCACAGCTTCCTCAATCGTGTCCAACCGTACCACTCCACCCCGAAATTCTCCTAAATTCATGTAATGCAGTTTCACCCTTTCTAAATGAGGTGGAGTTTCACGACCGTGATATGGAAAACACAAGTGAAAAATATATTTCACGACTACTGCATATCACCGCGAATATCGCGTTTTTTCACCGAGTTTCACGCCACTTCACGTAGAACGGGTGATTTAACTCGAGTGAAAACCCCGATATTCGCGATATGTTTTCACTAGTGTTTTTCATTGAAAAAGCTCTGTGAAAATATATCTCACGAATACGAAACATTCCTACAAGTTAATTTTTTCGCATTGAAAATTTTTCATCAATTTTACGAGTTTTTTTTCATATCACGGTTGAATCACATAACCATTACTACTCTTCCTATATTCCTTTCCAGTACCCATATAAACCAACAACAGCGCCTGTAACTCTTCCAGTGACACTAGACCACACGCAGTGAAGTCCCTCAAAATTGCTCTTCTGTGGAGGCAATGTCGCAAGCCATTCGACTGGACCTATTCTGAATCATACCACGCGTGGAAACCAATCTTGAGGAAAAATATTCCCCACGATTTTTATAATTTCACCAACGCTAAATTCACTTTCACATTCAGCTGTGCTTATATTGTTTCCTTTCCTCACCTGAGCTCAGCCAAGTTTCCTCACTAACTATACGAGTTTATAAACGGGTTCAAGGACCACCAACAATTTCCCAAACTGCCAAACACATGTACAATACATACCAAATTGATATGCAAATGTTGAAGTTCCTATTCCGAGATTAATGATAGTGAACAACTTGTCGCTATCATACTTTCACACCGTTATTTTCATCACATCACATGTTCATAGCAATAGTTTCAGATCGACTCTCATAAACTCAGGAGAATATCCGAGCACCCTCCGAATAGGCCAGCCTATCCGTGCACGCGTGCACATGCTATCGATCATGGACGCCTTTGATATTATCGATCTCACTTTTAGCCTGAATTTTACGATGATCAGTTTCGTTCAAGAGGTTCACCTCCATATAAGGGATCATAGAGCACTTAGATTTTCATTCTTTGACACTCTGCTGGAACACTAACGCACACTTTTTCACAGCAATACATGCAGTTGACCATGCGGAAACCCTCCCCATTAAAACCTCAAATTCCTCCAAATCCGCCTCCAGAATCGCCTCGGCCAACGTCGTCGCCACTTCCTCCACAGAGTAGCTCTCCACACTGACCTTACTACCAGGCACCGGAAACTCCGGTACATTGTAGGGCACATCCTCCATTCTCTACCATAAATCCATCAAATCACAACCACCTCAACAACAACTCACTTCAACAAATTGGGTTTTCGTCATCACTATGGGTAGTCTATGCATTTTCGTGCACTCCCTCAGCGACTTAGCCGTGGGGACCACAATACAAGTAAATACTTCCTGTTTATCACTCAGTGCTAACCCCGCTGGCCACAAGTCCAACCTACGAAGAGTCATATCACTATACAAAACTACATGTGTTGATAACAATATGAAAATTTCCCAAAAAATTTTCTCGGTTTTTTTACACTTCTACCTAGTGGTGCGTGAATTTTCATGATGAGCTCCTGAGCTCAGCTGTGGAAACCAAACACATACTCCAACATAACAAAGTTGCTACTACCCCAATTTCTACAAATCCAATCTGCAAAAAAACGAAATAAAATTATGGCAGTTTGGGAAACTATGCACATACTCAACTACATATGTTAGTGACAATCTGAAATTTTGTGGAAATTTCGTGAAATTTTCGTTCGTTTCTATACACTCCGATAAAATTCTAGAAACCGACAAGAACTACTTCTCCCACACGTCTACAAACTGTGGTAGTGGTAGAATCAAACGAAATCAGTGGTAGAAAATATGTATGTTGGTGACAATATAAAAATTCCCAGGAAATTATTGTTGATATTCCTACACTTCTACTACAAGTAGTATTTATATTTATATTATAACCATAACTATAACATGTATTGTGATGAGAGTACTCGTTTAGGACTGTGATAGCGACAACTTGTTCGCTATAATAACACATATCAAATTGACACGTACTGTACACCCCCTAAACTGAGCTCATACCATTTAGTAAAACTACATTTGCTGGTAACAATATAAAAATTCTCGGAAAATTTCCGTTAGATTTTTTACACTTCTACCCCAAACCGTGTATAGTTTCTCTAAAATGAACTCCTTAGCTCAGCTAAGGAGACCAAACACATATTCCAACGACTCTACCTCAGAAATCTACTACTTTCACATTCAACACTGTTCAATTTTGTGGCGCGTCACAAATCAGAGGCTCACTTTTCTATACATAACAAATAAACATCCTACGAACTAAAAAGTCTGGTAATCTTAGAATAGATCTTAGAAAGTTTCCTCACCAACTGCGCAAAAATCAACCTAAAATTTTCATGGTATTCTTGCCAACTATGTGCATACTTCCTATTCTTACTCGTCAATCCTTTCCCTAAACACGCGCTCGCTGATTCGTCCCCCGTTCGAAAGTCTCCCACTTTTTCCCTGAGCTCAAAACATCGCTTCTCCCCCCAGCGCGAACCCACCCAAATAAACTTGTCATATAAGGTGCCGAAGTCGACTTCATTTTCCTCTCTTGCGCTCCACCACTCCTCGACGTGCTCCACGAGTCGTCTCAAATTATTCTCCACGCGACGTTTATCGTAATACCTGTGAATTCACCTCAATGGAGTTAAATCGCGCTCATATGCAGTGTTTCTCATATCACTAGGGTTTCATTTTCCCAGTGCCCAACGATCACATGTTACACACCCATTCCCGCCCTTTCCCACTACTACCCCACAGTAGAATAGTTCCCTTCCAACACAGGGGCGAGGATATGTCGAGTCAGTCGGTTGCCTCTCCCACCTGAAGTGAAAATCACATACACCCATTTCACAACGGCAACTACATGTGGCGGTGACAATATGAAAATTTTGGTAAAACTTTCTGCACATTTCTACCCAAATTCGTATATAAACTTCTATAATTAGTAAGGAAATTCTGAGGAGCTCAGCAGCTGAGGAAAGTGAGCATATATTCCTACTCAAATGACAGAGAAACACTAGTGAAAAATATATTTCACGACTACTGCATATCGCCTTTTGCACCGAGTTTTACGCCACTTCACGTAAAACGGGTGATTTAACTCCATTATTCACAACTTTCATCCCTATACACGTGTAGTCAATTTTACACCCACTCGGACACATAATCTAAAGCCATGGTATGGTAGCTATAATTTCACCAACTCCCTTCTTGAGGTCTTCGTGACGAAGGGGGCGAAGCTCACTTAGTCCACGTCTATCGATCAATAGAATTTTACATAGGTCCCCGGTTCGATCCCCGGGTAGGACATTTCTCTGTCATTAAAGTTTTTCGTGCATATCTCTCCGAGCTGTTCGCATAATCGAGTATTCCGACTTTCCCAAAAACCTCCGCATATAGGGGAGTCGTTTGACCTATCTGATAGCCTCTTGTGCTTCTTAGTTAAGCCAGAATAATTCTGCACGCACGCACAACGCGAAAGTGCCTGTTGTTGCGGTATATGCTCCGCAATTTCCACACCGTTACTAAACCCCGACTACTACCTGGAGCCAACTTTTCCAAAGCCGCTCGTATGCCAGCCGGAACACTTAGGCTCTCATCAAGCCACTCATCGTTTGAACTCAACATCCTGTCGCTTCTCCTCTGCCACAAATGAGCTCCCGACTGAGCCGCCGTAGCAGGAGTAGTAGACATAAATGATGATGATGCAAATTGGATAGGGCCACTCGTCTTAAGAGACTACAAAGGGAAGAATTAATCCCGACATTATGAAATTCATTTTCCCAAAATTTTCATATTCTCATCAACACATGTATATTCTACACTGTTTTCTCTAAGCTGATGGCATTGTTAGTACTGGGGAAAAACTACCTTCATGATAGAAGTTCTTTTTACAGTCATTTTAGGAGGCCAATTTATCTCTCGCGTAGTGGTGACACGGTTAAAGTCGGTGTCTGGTCGGCGGCTATTGACAACTTTTTTGCGTTAGATTGCGTCATCGTGTCTCCACCCATATTATAGATTCTTAGGCTAGAGGTAGTTTTCCCCACTACTACCAATGCCATCAGTCAGATACGCATATGATCAACTATATGTGGCGGTAACCATATGAAAATTTGGGAAAATTCTACAAATCTGGTCTGTGTACGATTCTACCCGAATTCTATAATTAGTCGGGAAACTCCCGAATTCAACTGAGGGAAGCGAACATTTTTACTACTATTACTACTAAACAAATACTACCTGCTCCAACCCTGGCATCTTCATGTGATAACTACGCACTGGCCTATACATAATCGGACCACAGGTACTAGGTACAGCTGCCGAGGGTTGAACCGGGGTCACCTAGTTGCCAACACACACTTCTACCACTACACCAACAATACTACCAGCGTTCTAAACCCAACTGCGGGAGTGTTATACACTAGACTAGGCGTTGTCAACGGTGCTCTATACCGCTCCACCGGCATCACAGTTCGAGGCGCCTAAAGATCCTCATCATAATACAAGAAAATCTAATACGTTCTCTCTTCTCACTGGAAGCCTCGGTGACACTATAGGGCTCCTCGGCAATTGTCTATTCGCCACCACCGGAGATCTGAGCTGCACTGCATAACCCTCCTTAATAGGGTTCAATTGAGTCCTTGTATACAACGGCTGCGTCAAAGGTCGGACCGTAAAATCTGATAGGAAAACCGTGAACTCAACTACTTTTTCCAATACTTACAATTCACTTCCGCTTCCGCTCGGCGAGTGGGCATCGCCGGACCTACATAACACCAATATTCTCTAATCTTTGCCCGCCAAGGGCCCTATCATGACCGGCGCTCAACGACGATCTCGATAACTATCCCACTACACTCAACGAACATACCAAAATTCGACGATAACTATGCAAAGTCTTATCAATTTGATATTATCAAAGCCTAATGCGTAGTTAAACAGATCCTCAGACTACGACTTTCGCAGCCTCACCCGAACTACCAAGGCAAACGACGGATCAATCCGGTAACCAACAACTACACAACATGTGGTCGTTAGAAGGCATCCAATATCTCTACTACGCCGAACTAAAGTAGTCCAAAATTGAGCCAAGTTACCGTAAATTCCAAAACAGATCATAAACCAAGTTTCTAGAATATTAGTACCAACCTTCCAACAACTCACCCATCATTTGGTGTCCATGAGATTTCACCGTCACAGTTCGATACGATGGGAGCACCGGAGAGGCCGAGCCGCCATAAATAGTCATTGCTGGTAGTAAAATAATCACCCTATGCTCAAAGACAAATTGCGCCTTTGATTTAGCGCTCGCCCAAAAATTCGGCTCAACAAATGGAAACAGGTCGCGGAAACACCAACACATGAAATTTATAGTTACTTTGCCTTTTTCGCCAAGTCCCATAGTATCTGATGAAAAAGAATAAAATGTCGCGCGCCACGAAATTACCCCTACCAGTTGCGCTGCATTCTTCCCCGGAGTGCCCATCACTCCTCCGCCAGGATGAGCTCCAGCACCGCAAAGATACCTATCAAAACATAATCGACGAGTAAAGAACTCCGAAAATGTCGATTTTTCACGCACGATTATAGGACTTACAGTCCATCCAGCGGAGTCCTGGCATTCGGACGAGTGTATCCTAGTTGATGCAGCATCAACGCACCATGAAAGATATTTCCCTTATGGAGACCGAACTCATGCTCGAGTGTGAGTGGAGTTATAACCTGTGAAAGAACGGCACACGTACCACTGTTTTGATAAATTTAGTCTGCGGGGGAAAGTAAATTCCAATAACACATTTAGTTCACTGAAGAACCAGAAAGGCTTTCAGTGTATCGGCAAAAACGATTATACTTTTCCCTAGACCTCCGTGACATGCCACGAAAACAAACACTGTTAACTACTAGACTACTACAATACATATCGTATTGTTATGAGTCTTCGACAATCGTCAGTTGGCAACGTGTCAGCAGTACTCGCGCACATGCGCTCCCGGCTGGACCAAGCAGATTCCGGCCTTCTTATGATGATGATACTATGTTGACGAGGAAGCCGCTCTCAGATAACGTTGACGCGACTGATACTTAATTGCCGTCTTGCCTCTGATGCGCTATCATATCCTTGGCGAGTAAAGCGTACAACATCAATACCGAGGACATCCAGCCTTCCTATTGCTGCATTTGCTATCCCTTCCGGACGGTATCGTCTTGTTTCATCACTGATAATATTGTAGAGCTACTCGCCAATATCAGCAACAGCGCGCTTGAAGATTACGTTGACCATTACGTTCACTACGCAGTTTTGGTCCGTAGAATCAGCTGCGTGAGAGTGACCTCGAAAGACTTCGTTGTGGAATGAGCAAAAAGGAAGGGCCCTTCAAACGGTTCCGATGGGGATCAGCTTCTTGGGACGAAATAAGCTCATCGTGTTTGGGGATGAGAGCTCACAGTAATTTTCCAGAGAGTCACTTTGCGAGTTCAGCTCACCCTACTGCACCTCACGAGAGCGCATGGCTAACGACGCCGCTAGCCTAGTAGGCTACTAGGACCGCAGTAGTAGCATGTCACATGACCAACAGTGATGATGATGTTCAACATGGCCAACTTGGCCATTCATCGGTGATGGTTCCTCATCTACGATCATGCGATTTCATCCCGTAAACCTCACATCTTTATGAAGCACCGAGTTGGCAAAGTTAGGATCATACTCGTGAATCACACCGAAAACCATCTCGACGAAACGTTCCACGAAGCCCGGATCGGCCCAAGAGCCATGATTGGGATTTACATCGTAAGGAGCGTATCTAAGATACAAAGAAAATCGTCGAGCGAATCCGACACTCTCTATCCGAAAAACTCTAAAAAAAGCATTTTTCGTCGCCAATGATACACGTGAAGGATGGTTGATAGCCACCGAACGCTTCACTAATGAGTCCGTCACTGATTCAAGTAAGCACCCTCCGAACTACTGCTTGCTGTAATATCTACATTGCGTGAATTATTCTTATGCGCACTGTTGAGAAAACCCCTTAGCCGTCATTGGAAGAGTATAGCCCATCAAGACGAACATTTCCTTGGAAAATGCAAAGCCTATCACCAACTTACTGCACGAAAAGCTGGCAAATATGATGACCAGAACTGTACGGTACCAGACTCGGATCCAACACCTATGCACATCATCCCGCCGACGAACCGTCGTTGACGGCCAAGAGCAGTCCCGCTACTCACACTAGGCAGAGTCATCTCAACGACAGGTCTCGTTGCTGGCAAACCCGATCGTGCCTCTTGGGCGGCGACTTCTATCTGACTGAGGGATGTCTCGAAATGGACGGTCCCTTGAAGATGCTCAGGATCAACTCCTGGTATCTAACAGGCGCACATTCACATCCTCATCAGGAATTACCAATTTCTGGAATCCATCATATAAAAATTTCTCGCAATAAAATGGATTTCAGGACGCCACGACACCGACTTCGAGCAAAGCTTTACCCGCATAGAACAGATTGAAGAGCATTTCACTATGAATCAGTGAGTCCCGAGTTAGATTTTGACATGGATCGAACCAACCGAGTCACGCCGACCTGGGGGAGTCTGTCAATGGCACAATTGATTTTCATAGCCCCACAAGAGTAATCAGTGAATCGTATCTGGGTAGTAAATCTATCGCCGAGACTCTTCGGCCGGTCCGAGTCTGTCAAAGGCAGCAACTCCAGGAACCTGACAAGAACATCAGCCTGAATACGCATGGACCATCCCGTGGACTCGCTTCTGGTCACCAGAATAGCATATGACCAGAAGTCGGTCGAGAGAATAGAGTCTTTTGCTCTCTTACGTATGCCATGGAGTCGCGTTAGATACCACACACATCTTCGCTCGCAGTTGGGTGCCGTCAATCATCTCCACACCAGTCGCTCGACTTCCGTCATGGGTAATACGTTTCACCTAAGAGGCTACCAGATGAGTGTGTTTAGAACACGGTTGAAGTCTATATTCTCATCAGTGCGAAATCGCCATGTTCACGGAAATGGAACGAAATTTGTTCGATTGTGAGATTTAATCTCCAAGTTCTGACTTATCCAACGACATTCTTAGAATGCATATTTCACCCACCTGAGCATCCGTCATTATAACAGCTCCAGCTTGCATCGCGCGTTCGGCAATAGCGCTGGATATTCTACCCATGCCTCCCTCAACATATGCCCACACTCCTTGGCGGCCGTTTACGTTCCCCATCACATGATGGAGAAGAACCTATGAGCGTATAGGTTCAAACACACCACGAAGATTTTGTGATTCAGACTGTTCTCATATAGTGATCATACTGTTTGGTACGAGCTCGACTACTTCTCAAGGCTATAGAAGCAGTCGAGCTCGTACTGTAGTATCGCTATAGTATAGCACAGGACATAAACTTCAAGCCATTATGGCTTAGCCATATGTCGCTACAGCTCTACTTCTACCATGTCGACCTTACGTGGAGTACTTTCGAGCGAAAAACTTACATACGCACTCCCGCAATCAGCTGGGCTCGCCATGCTTCCTATAACGGCATCCGTCGCCAACGTTGCCTTTAGAACATCCGTCTCAAACCACCTATCTAAGATCTGCGACGCTGGTCCTGTGAATAACTCGTACTGAACAGTGCAGAGAGCGCATTGTAGGATATCGACATTTTTTTGCTACCAAATCTGGTATAGCATCGCTGTGTTTTGTCAGCCTCTTCACGGTCTTCATTATCCGCAACGAATGGTTGACGAACTCTCGTACAGTCTTCGTGTCTGAGAGATCAGTCGACTGAGTCGATACTTCAAGGAATACCAAGGGAGAGCATACCCGATGGCCGCATCGGAGGTCCCTGCATTAGCGGTTCTAACACTTCACGCATCTCATTGAGCAACTGCTCGTATCTAAGGGCGCTTCGCAAGATTCATTAAAGCCAGCCCACAACTTACAATGGAAAGACATGTGCGTCTCTTTGTGAAAACTCCGCGATACTTTCTATAGTCTTCTTCTGGTCACCCCACATTAATAGCGGTCTAAAACCAATTGGATGATCCAATTAGGATTAACTATTTCTGGGCAGACCCGTTGAACAGTCAGGCAATATTCTCGCCTCCCCACTGGGAAGTTCCCAGCGATAAATGCTGCGCAACAGATAGAGGCGGAGAACAGCAATACAACTGCCGATGCACTTTCAACGCATCTCCTTTGAAAGCTGTAATTCTCACCAACATTTCGTCAACTCTTGAAAAAGCCCAACAATCTGACAGATTGCTACTCGATGTGTGATTTCTATCGAGTCTGGCTGGTCAATATGTTAGTCTCCATAACCGCCGTCGACGGCCCGCCAAGAATGATTGGATGCAGCAGATATCCGAGATCCACCGAGTGTCCTTGAGCACGACTCTCGAAGAGTCACTCGAAGAGAACTTGCTCGAGAAGGAGAGTAGGTCCGTCATCCTTTGATTGGACCGCTTTAAGAGAACGTAGAAGTTCCGGGTAGCGCCTTCGGAACTCGGCGAAACGGAGAGATAGCCGGAAATCGGCTGATTGATTGATAAGACCTCGCACGGACCTCACTGACGTCTAAGCGCCGCTCAGTTAACGGAATGTCGGACAATGAAGAAATCCCAGTTTCATATTCGCGAATTCGTCAAATACCTCCTGAAGCATCTGTCATGGTTGAGCATCCGTCAGAGGTCCAGCTGAGCGCATATTTAGGTTCACGGCATCACGCTGGTACAGTTTGTAGATAGCATCGGCCACAGTTCGAACATGCCGGCACACGGATTATCTGGTGACATAACAGCGAGCCGGAATACCCAGCCATTGTACATCCTCACTCCGAATGGGATGTAGAATAGCTGGTTGTACATGAACTTGTACTCATAGGACACTGTGAACGAGTGGTAGGAGAACTCAGCCTCACGCCCAATGATCTTCGAGCATTTTCGAAAGGCTGGAGCACTTCGTTATCGCTAGTCCCGCCAAAGCCAATCGGATCAGACCGCACTTGGCTTTTAGCTTCACCCTGCAGCTACCTCTTGTACTATAAGACGTAGCTAGTCTTGTAACAAGACACACCAACTTCACTGAGGACTATGGGATTTACTCTCGCTCATTGAAATGACCAATCAGAGTCCACCATTTCTGATGTGGCGGGCCGGCTGGTAACGTAAGATCAATCTTACTGTCACCACATCGTATGAGCATTTCCGATCGAAGTTGGAACAAGGGAGATTTACCATGGAAGTTTCTTATCATTTTCATTTAAATTTTTCTGAGCTCACCACGTAACATGCACTCTCCTCTCATTGCCATCAGAAGATAATCCAGGCCATTATCAGTGAGGATCAGAGTTTTAATTCAGCCTTTAGGGTGACCCTGTGTGTGACTCACCTTCCTCTGTAAATAGGATGGCTCATAGGCGTAGGCGTTATCGATCCAGGCTCCCTCAAGAGGTATTTGAACCCGCCGGTCCCTATGGAATCCATAAAAGTCACAGCGGCTGCTGACGGTACATTCTCTGGTGAGGTCTAGATCCTTGATTATCCCGGGATTGAGAAGTCCAGCTAGGTAGCTGCATCGACTGTATTTATATCTAAACCGGGGTGGTTGAGATCCTACCAGTTCAACGCCAACTTCACCCTGGAAAAAGCTCTTCCGTGACCGCAGCACCTCCAACGATGTGTCGTCTCTCCAAAACGAGTACATCATAGCCCTACGCAAGAGCACATGACGACAGCCATCTCATAATGCTTACCTCCTTTGCTAAATACGCAGCAGTAATCAGACCGTTGTGACCGCCACCGATTACTATAATATCGTATTCCTTCTCTACGAACACTGGAGTCCGTGTTCGAGGCGCTGCGTACTTTGATCTGAACCGGGAAACCCCTCCTCCATTGAAGCCTGTTACCGTGCCCACTTCATTCGCGCATCATGCATCTCAGGCGTTAAAGTGGCCGTCTCATAGTTCGGAGGTAAGTCGCTCATCTGGGCAAATGTGTACCTACGCAACTTCAAGAGAGATCATCGGCGATCTCGAACACTCACGTTTGTGGGAAAGGAGGTCTACTTGGACCCAAGGGACGAACATCGCGCCAAAGCAATGGTTCAGTCGAGGCCTCTACCAATCCGTCCGAGGCACTCGGTAACGAAGACCATCTAAGAAAACGAGTACACTGCATTCAATGTGTGTAGAAGTCGATAATCCGACAAGAATCATCATGCTGAGAGTTAGTCTCGGAGCACTACATTCGTACCGGGAATTCGAGTCGTCGCAAAAAATGAATCTACAGGGTATTCAACGAGTGGAACCGATAAGCATTTTTTTGTGGTGTTCACGTCAAAAAGACAATGGAATTACGAAACAGATGACCCTTCGCGTTGAGAAAGTTCGTGATGGCTCTCTGCCAGCACTCAGAAGGAGCGACCATCTATCACGAAGGGTGCCTACTTCGGCAAAGAATCTTCAACATCCTCAACACGGTCGTCATAAAAGATATGCATGGTAGGGAGGTACTCGACATCGACGTCCCCATCTGTGGGCAATGTGAACATGCCCAACGTATTGATCGCCCCTCCGGCGATATACTCAGAGCATTCGCCACAGTAACTGATCAACATGTAGCCTCGTGTATCAAAATGACTACAAAAATTAAGAGCGGCTTTGGCGCAGTAGGTAGCGCGTAGGTCTCATAATCCTAAGGTCGCGAGTTCGATCCTCGCAGGCCGCATTTTCCAACTACATTCGACTATTCAGACCATTCTCTGGATAGACTTCCTTCATCGGGCCTTCGAAAGTCACTTGCTCTGGTCGAAAACCAGCAGTCGGCAAACTCTTAGCGGACGTCGCGGCTCGACAAAGACTGAGACACACAGCATCAGACAACTCTCGATCCTCGGCCCCAAGAAGTTCTCTGCGAGAATCGACGTTGAAAATACCCTCACAGCTGTGTGGGTACCAAGATTGGTATCATCTTGAAAGGGCATCTCAATCACAATAGGAACCCCGCGAGAGAGTGAAGGATTGCAAAACGAACACAACACAGAAAAGCAGCAATTTCATGATCCGACTTGAAGAGCGATTCTTAACTTACCTGCAGTGACAGACGTAATTCATGTAGCTAGGGCCCTTGGCAACAGCGGTGCTCTTCCCACAGCCGCAAGTCCTCACCAAATGGTTCGTGTAAAATCTCAATGACAAAGTCCACCTCTTATTAAACCGCCCATAAGGCGTTGTCAATCGTAGAATCATCGGAATTGAAAAAAAACAACCCTACGAATATAAAATTCAATCCAGCTGAGCCGCACGATGAGCGATGAAGAGAAACTGAGAACAAATTTCCGTCTAATAGCACTAACATTCAACCACTAAGTACAGTGTTGTAACTAAACACGAGGCACGGGAGTGAGGGAATTAGTCTTACTGCATGATCATGCTAATGGCAATTACAGATGATTAGATATCAATACAGAGCTGCTGCAGGTCCGTTGAGACGTACTCGGAAGAGTATAAAACAGGTGGGATTTCAGTTTCACATAATTTTTGTTGTGTTTTTATACAATTGGACTTCAAGTCATGTGTAAATCTTCATAATGTATCTTTGAAAACTCTCGACCTCAGCGTAGTTCCATCACTACTTGACAACGAATCTATTTTTTCTGCAAGTTTTCGTTTTTTTCGCAAAAATTTTTTCGGTAAGCTATTCAGAATGCGACGTATAAGATCCCATTCCACCGTAAGAATGCTATAACTCCTACCACAGACCAAAGGGTGATATACAAAT